ACAGTGAAGTGTATAGATGTTTTACCACATGATGAGCACCAACAAACACAACACACAAAGAGACAAGTATTAGGAAAATGGTTTAATATTGGAGACAGAAGCAAAAAACTGCATCACACAATAACATACATTACAAAAATAAGTTTGACTGTTTCAACTACACAGTAATGTTCACAATGAGGACAGAAGAGTCAGAAAAAGTTTGATCTAAACAGCAAAAAAGCAAACCCCTATTTTTTAGTTTTAATTATTACTAATACATTTATCCACTTAAAGTGACTGTGTACATCTAGCGCTAATTACCTTAGTGTGTAACTGCACAATACATAATAAAAAGTGAAACTTACCGCTTTCATTTTAGACATATTTGTTAACGTTAGATATAAGCAAATAAAAAAGCAAGCCAAAGTTTTTTAAGTGTTGAAAACAAAACCATTCTTTTTTTTTGCCAGTCAAAAAACAAACATAAAATCAGTCATGGTAGGGCCCTCAAGAGTAAGCCACAACTTTTCCTTTTGTATTTTTAATCTCCAGTATAAAATGTTGCACTGGTACAAAATGCATAAGTACAATCAGTTAGTAGAAATAGGAAAGCCATTTTTTTTGTTGTTTTTTTTGGCTCAAATTCCATCACACAACAGAACCAAAATGCATCAATAAAACATAAACAATACTTAAAAGATCTTACATTTTCCACTAAAATTTCAGTAACTTTGGCTTTTCTCAGACAATACTCAAAAACTATTTGTAATTAGAAACAAAATGAGTTATTATTTAATCTACAAACGACAATTCTCACAGCACAAAAAAGAAACACAAATACATTTCTTTTGTATGATGTAATTCTAAAATGTTATTATGAAACTACAAGTTTTTTTCTTATTCGTATTTAGCACTTGAGATAATAAAACAGAACAGTTAAAATGACTTCAGTTACATAAGCCAAAAAAAACTAGAATCTTGAAGTGAAAGAAAAGTTGAACTTATTAATCCTTTAAGCAACGTGTCTTCAGTGCGTACCTATTAACTGTGTCAGTGCTGGATATGATCTTTTTATACAGCAGGGCATTCAGTATGTCCCTTGAGCTTTCAGTTGTTTCTTTTTAAGTCATTATGCATGAACAACTTCCTGCTTGTTGATAGGACCAGTTCCCTGAATTGTCCAACTGTAAAGGGTGGTAATGTGATGAACAAAAAAAGAGAAATGACAGTCTAAAACATGAAAACAGGTTCTCTTAAAGTATTACTAAATGAGCTTTCTAAAATAATTTCACATATCTAGCAATCAAAGCTCCATAATAATACTTATCAGCATCCAAGCTGGTGTTCAATCATTACATGTATTAATCTATGAGATATTTTGAAATGCAGCCAAATATGAGTTAATCTAAGTAACAAAAATATGTTTTTTTTCTATCATATATCTCTATACATATATTCCAAGAATGACATATAGATATAATTTAGTAATATTCTTTTTTTTCTTATACAAAAATAGCCCTCATGTAAATCTGGTAGGACCCAGGATTATAGTAGTAAACACTTACAAGAACCTATATGAAATCATTGTGACTTTAACACATATCTTGGTACTTAGGGGATTGTACTAGTGTATGTCAGTAGCTGGAAAATAGCATTTGCTGTGGTTTAAAGATCAGGCACTGCATTATTAATCAAATGCTATTATGTTTACTTAAAGAAGAGCAATGGCAGTACAAAGAGGCCACCCTAAATTAACATTAACAATTGGACCAGTAATAATGGGTTTAATCTGAACAATGAAAGAAGTGAATAGATTTTGGTTAAAAAAAAAAAAGTTTTCTTAACGTATAGAGGATGGAGATAATTAGCTACAAATATGGCACTTCATGATACTACATGACTGATTCTGTAAAATGAGCAGTCAATGCTCTTTACATTTCACTTAATCATACCTAAAAAGTGGAAGCTTTGTAAGTTCTACATTAACTTATGGATATAAACCATGGATTCAGTGTGCTTGTGTGTACTTTATATACCCTGATTCTTTAGGACAGTATGCTTAAAAGGAATAGTAGTTCAACCATTCATCACCATAAAGACTTCCACAGACCATGAAGAAAGTACAATTGTGACTCGTGAGGTTTGCTTTCACAGATTCGATGTGCAGAGTGGTTAAAAAAGTGGAACATGGGCACTTACTGTATACAATGTATTACCAAAAAACATCAAAGAGATATAACAAACAATAACAATTTCAAGCAACAAGACCACAGGATAGCAAGTTAACAAATTTTGTAATCTCTCTTTTTTAAATAGAAGGGATTTATACAAAACACATAATAAAATACCCATGTTATCAAATTACTTCGTACACGAAAAATACACTGAAGCTTTAGGCAGGAAGTACCTTTGGAATTTGGCACTGTATTTTCACTGATTTTTTTTCTTCCAAAGAAAAAAAACAGGTCACATTTTGCTGAACACAAACACATCTAAGTTTCCCCACAATAAAAAATAAGAACATCAATGCTTTACAAGCCAACACAAAACTTATTTTTCTGGAATAGTTTTTGTTTCACATGAAATTATAGCAAACAGACTTTTTTTATATCTGAAAATTATTTTAGTTCAAGTAAACCAATTTTTGTTAAACTTATTAAACATAGAACACTGAAGACTCTTAAGACTTAATGAAGCCACAACTAAATTCATAGAAGCACCAACATGACACAGTATACATTTACCTTCTTTTCTGTACATTTAAACAGTATAAAATATAGGTAATTTCATGTGCATTAAACCATGGATTGTCTAACTGTGAGTCAGTTCAGCAAAAGGTGACAGAACTAGGTAGCATTTGCCCCAAAACAGGGTAAATATTTTCTTATACTAATCTACAAAAAAGTGGTTCTATATATATAATTTAATGAGAAAGTGAGCCACCTAAAATGGCCTTATCAAAAAACTTTACACTGCCTGAAAAAATGTAAAAACTATTACAGAGCTCTAGAGACCTAAAATCAGACAGTTTTTCTCAAACTGTTTTGGAAGTTGTCTGCTTCATTTAGAAACCAACATTCTGAATTCCTGGACACATATTGCTTTAGGAAACAGTGACCAGACAGAATGCTAATCCCTGTATAATACTTTCAAGTCTGTTTATGTTATGAAACGAAAAGAAAAACAAAAAAAAAGATTTTTTTTTTTGCCACAGGTTTTTTGTCTTTTTTTCTATAATTTTTCTTATAGTAAATTTCAGTCTTGCGTGAATGCTGCAATGTTTTTCACATTGACTTTTTTATTTTCCAGAATTCTTAGCTAGATGAGATCACATGCAAATTTCAGAAGTCAAACTAAGTCAGTTGGAGGATCAAATATGATGTGAGGTCAGAAAGACATCAGAAACAATGACGGGACGATGAAACTTTTTTTTTTTAAATAGACGCCACAGGGACATGCTAGGCAAACGGTGAACTAACAGGCATGAAGATGTTCTAGGGAAAAAAAAAAAACAAGGAAGAGTATAAAGTTACACAGAATCTATGCAGCAGAAACAAATCACTTTTTTTAGTCCATCAGTGTTGGTCTGCTCAGGAATGCATAAAAATGCAGTTCTGCTCATTCCAGCACTGAAAAGGTTAACCAGTGTAGGAATAAAATGTAATGCAAATCTTTGTAGTTATTAAAATCTATATGCATTCCATAATTCACATTTATTATATAAATATATAGAGCATATATTTTACACAAAGCACAATGAACAGCCCAAAAGAAACCATCCAGTTAGAGTTAGTGCAGATGGATTGCTTTGGGAAAGGAAAGGAAGGGTTACAGAAGGGAAAAGGCGGCCATTTTGAACAAATGCCACACAACAGATAAGTCACAGGACAAATCTTTCACTACGTGATGGAAACAAAAATAACCAAACAAAACATAGAAAAGGAAGAGAGTGATTTGTGCATAATGGGTATTTTAACTTAAAATGAAAGAAAAAAATGTATTTATTTTACTCTAGAGTCTATTTTAAAAGGTATCTATCTAGCATTGAGAACTTCTCTTTAGATATCCAATACGTTAACAATAAATAACTCCCATAATTTCTGAGGCAGTAAAAATTTTTGTATAAAAATAGAAATGTTTCTTTTTTTTTACAAATAAAATTTACAGGCCTGTGGCTTCCTTTATTATTAAATTTATCTCTCAAGAAACATCAAGTATATTCACTCACTTTAGTTATTTTTTAAAACCCTGTAGCTTTAGAAACAGTTCTCTAAGACGTCTTTTTTTAAACACACATCTTTTTCAAACATATTCATAGTATAATTATAATAAATAACAGCATACATAAATAATATTTCATTAATGGAATAAATAAATAAATGAATCAATAAATAAACAAATAAAATGTATCACCATAATAACATAAAGATAGACCGGTTGTTTCTGTCAATTAAAAAAAAAAATCTAAAATCTTCTAAAACAATTTGACGCAGTGGAAGGACTTGTTTTGTTTTTGCCTGTGTGTGTGAGTGTCCCTATATATGTAAACAAATTGAAATAAAAAATATGCGTATATTGGCAATATTTTCATACTAGGCCACCACACTAGCTCCTTAACTGCTGGTGTCACTATTATACAACCAGGTCCTTGAAACGCTAACTTGTGTTCAGTTTTGTTTTTTTTCGATGGCACCAGTGGTTGCAGAGTTTAATTGCACATTGTTTTGCTGCTATTGTAAATCTAAAGATGTCTTACAAAAAATATAGGCAAAGGAAAAGTGGAACAGAACATTGTTACACAAATTGCTGGATTCTGGGTAAGAAAATATAGCCAGAGTAAATGGCAAGCGCAGAGGGCCACGGTAGATGGGAATGGAAGCGTTTAATGTAAAAATAATTGTCTCTCTTGGTGAGTGTTGGCAATGTTTTCCTCCTCAGCCCCAAGTGAAGAATAGGCTGGCTCATGGGACTTACCCTAAGAAAGCTAAAATAATAGCAGAAAGCTTCTGGGTTTAAGATCAGTAAGGTTTGCTGTCATTTTTGGAGCGTTTCAGCTGAACTTTCAAGCGTTTCATGCCGATCTGAAAGCCGTTCATAGCCTGAATAGCAGCTTGGGCGGAAACAGGATTGTCATAGCTAACAAAACCTGTGAAGGATAAAACAAAACAAAGTGCATAGAGCTGATATTGGTTAACAATTTACCAACTGAAATTAATAATAACAATACTGTAAAAATTAATCAAATTAAGAATTCATTTAATGATAGACAAGTAAGAATATTTCTAAAAATAAAATACTTTTAAAGTGGCTATAGACAGTTTATTATTTATATTTAACATATGCACATACTGTACATGTCTATTCATTCAAAAGCCTGCCTATACAATAGGGATGTACGAAATATTAACATTTCTCTTTGACACCAGTGTGCTCAATATACTAATTCTGTGATCTGTTTCACTGGTTTTTGGATCTGTGTTTTTTTTCTTAATTTTTTTAATGTAATAAAAAGCATGCATAAAACAAAGGGATCCCAAACATCTGCTAGATGCAGGTGCTCAATTGTTCTGCAAGAGTCCATTGAAATGTTTTGCTAGTTCAGAGGGACAGAGAGTAGCAATGTAAGTTACTGATATCTCCCCCCCCACTACACACACACACACACACACACACACACACACACACACACACACACACTAGTCCATTAGCACCAGACCTTTGGGCTTGCATTTTTTGTTGCTTCCTCATGAAATACCAGGTTGATGCTAGAGGTCATGTAGACTGGTATCCATTTAGTAATGGCCCCACTGGATTATGGCCATCTTGCTATGGGAATATCAACTCATGTGCCTAATGTGTCAGATTGATATTGTTTGGAGAAGAGGGGCTTTTTAAATGCAAAAGTAGGTTTAAAGGAAAGGAAGAAATCAGCAGATATTTGTTTGTTAATCAACCCAATATGATTTGGATCTAAATCAATGCAGGCCATTTTACTTAAATCTAAGCATGAAAAACAGTGCTCAGTAACTCAATATTATTGTCAAATATTTAAATTATGTGGATTTGAAAATAAATGCATGATTTTCTAAAATCATTTTACATAGTATCAAAAATATGAGTAAGCATACAGATTAGTGCATAGGCCTTTGTATATAATTTGGCAGTTTGAATAGATACAGTCCCATCACTGTCAGTAATAATTAGCACATAGAACATCAAATGAAATAAAATATGATAAAGTTTTACTATGGCTATTGCAGAAATGGTAAATATGAACATATGGAGTCCAGATTTTTTGGTACGATTCTTTAGCCTTTGATCATGAGACAAGAGAGTACTGTCACCATGAAGCATGTGACCAGTGTGACAGCATAAAAGATACACACAAAGCTGCCTAGTAAGTAGCGTGTCTGCCTCTAGCACAAAGAAGGACGATTAGGTATTCTTGAAATGACACTTAGATAGTATGGTAACAGCATTTCCCAGCACAGAAAGTAATTAGTTTCATTTACTCACTACATTCACTTGTCAGCTTCTGTTCATTTTCCTTTGTGAACTATTGTGTCTGTGCATAGTTCATTTTAAACAATACAAAATTAAAAATAAGAGGAATACAATATATTGTCCTGCACCCAGAATGACAAGTAAACTCATTACAGGTAACAAAAAAAACCTGTCTTTAACAGGCTGTGTTTTCTAAATATGCAACCTAATATTAAACCACAGCAGGGGTGTCTATGAGCTCTGTTCAATACATAACGCTTAATAATGCTATATTGATTCAGAGCTTCCAATGAAATATGCTGGCTTCGTGTGCTTTTTTCCCTTTTTGCAACAAATATACTATATGTTGCTGAGTCTTCTAGCAAAATCCTCAAATCTCAACAAAGAGCATCAGAAGAATCCAAAAAAGGTTGTGCCATATTTCACCATGAATCTCATGATTTTTTTTTAATTTCCAACAAAAATGCTAATAGTTGGCATATCTATGATCAGACTCCAGATACAAGAAAGAGCTAACTTCAATCCAGTTATGAATTTACTAAAATATTTTACATGGGGATAGTAAAGGATCTTCATCTAGTTTGATGTTAGTCTCCTTCACAGCAGTACTCACTTTGGAACAGGAAGGGTTAGGACATAATATTTTAATACTTAGCACATTGCTGTCAGTCTAGCATTTGTAAAATGCATACAGAAGGAGAATTTACAGATTACAAAGCTTTTAATGTATGATTCTCCATTTTTTCCTGAATGTTCCCATGCAAATATATTTGATGTGTGAAATATTACACAATCCTGGAACACAGACATGTATAACTCATAAAATGCTTGATTCCTTAAAAATGGACAAATCTGAAAATATTTGGGGAAATCAAAACAGTTTGTGATTCGCTTCATTTGCGAATCGATCTGCTCATCCTTAATTCTTAATCTTTTGAAGCCACAGGATTGCAGTTAAAAAGCAAAAAAAAAACATTCTTAAAAAATACGAAAACCCAACATTTCATATTCTTGACATGTGCCTGCTGTACCATATACTTGTATGAAAAAGTATTCTGTTCTCTTTGTATTGCTTCCTTTGTGTGAAATACCTGATGCTCCCGCCTGTTCTCTGGCAGTCTGCTCTCCTACAATGATCACACTTGTGCTGACACGCTCCCCCCCCCCCCCCCCCCACACCCACACACACAGCCATCCACTGGGAACATCAGTGTGTTGCTATTTCTCCACCCTCACCTCTCTATGCAGCTGAGAACAGGTGGTATGTAATCACCAATAAAAAAAAAGGGGAAAAATAGGTATTTATAATGTTTTTATATGTATACACAAATGTTCTACCTATCATTTCTATTTTAAACTGTATGTGTTGTTTTACAAGGTGAGGGTTTACATATACATTAACCAGAAGCATCAGTTAATGGTGTTTCTGCAGTTTGTATATTCCTTCCAAAAGGCAACATTAGAAAATTGTCAAAGACAGAGTTGGTATAAGACAGCTGTCTCATTTTCCCTTACATGTTTTTTTAGCTGTCTCTATACTACAGAGGCACCAATGTGCCAATTACCCACCATGTAAAAGAGCAGTATGAGCTCTACTGTAAAGGGAAAGAGTATTAACACATAGGGGAGCAAGCTATACTATTGGGTAACTATATGTCTGAAAAATAATTCAGACTCACACTTGAAAGTATTTAAAGAAGTTTTATTTTCAGGTAAGGCAACATAGATTTTTATTTCCTATTTCGAGGTAGACCTGTATTCATGTATGAAAATATCAGAAAGAACATTAGTCATGAATGAAGAGCCAGTCAGATTCTTCTAACTATTTTAAACCTGCACTTGGAACCACAGAAGACAGAAACTAATTGATTGCTTCGGGGAAACAAAATGTTGTTGGTATCAATAAAACTCTGTGCTGTTAACAGTTAAAAAGTGATGGTATTCCATATGGGAAATATAGTGTTCTGTTGATTAAAATGTATATATATAGAGAAATCAGGCTTACTTTCCTCCAGGAATTAAAGATTAAGGAGGTTATTAATGAAGGTTTCTGCTATATTTGACTTAAACCACTACTCTGCTTACTATTTACTGAAGTAGAGTGAAATAATCAAGCTCTACCTCATTCCCTTCTGCTTAAATGGCCAGCATATCAGGCAGGTTGCTAAAGTTACATGCTGAAACTCTTGCATTGAAAAAACATTACTTTTATTAGCTTCAAGCTTACTATAGGATATATATTTGCACCCATATAATTGAGTTCAGTAAGTAAAATATACCTAAAATATGAAGTCTTTTAATGCAAATTGTGATGCATTTCAACAGCTAGCATCTTAATGTCTTTTCACTTACCAAAGCACTTGCTCAGATTGGTCTGTTTGTCAATGAAGACTTTAGCAGAGATAACATTTCCAAATGGCATGAACATCTGGAGAATGTCCTGGTCACCAAACTCTTGTGGTAGATGGTAAATGAAGAGATTTGCACCTTCTGGACCTTCAGATGAAATAACGATAACTTCACTTTAGTATATTTATAAAATAGTAACCCTCACTGTTAATAAACAGAGTTACTTATATCGTTCTGGAATTATTATTTCTTAGTTTGAATGCACAAAATTTTTAAATCTAGTTCATATGGATAATTGCAATCTATTACCCGTGGAGCTGTCAATATTTTCCCTATATTAATTTATTAGAATTAATGGGTGTTTTCCTTCTATTTATTGTCAACAGAAAAAAAACACTGTAGAGGCCTGTGTTTAATATTGACCACTTCAATATCTGACACTTCCACCCCCTTCCTGTCCAGGCCAATTTTCAGCTTTCAGTATGAAAAACAATTGTATATTCATGCAATACTGTACCCAAATGAAATGTTTTTTAAATTTTCCACACAAATAGAGCTGTCTTTTGGTGGTAGTTATTCACCACTGGGTTTTTTATGTTTTGCTAAATAAATGAAAAAAGACCGAAAATTAAAAAAAAGTGTTTTCTTTGTTCCTGTTATAACATTTTGCAAATAAATAGTTTTTCTTCATACATTTAGGTCAAAATATATTCTAATACATTTATTTGGTGAAAACAACCCAAATCAGTGTTTATTATTTAGTCTGTAGGAAAGTTATAGAGTCCACAAACTTTGGTATTTATCTGAAAATTTATCAATTTGATATACTGATGACCTATCTCATTTCTTGAGGCCCGAAAATGTAAGAGGCATGGTGAGTTTTTTGAAATTGTGATATTTTGTCATAATATTTTGGAAAATAAAGAAATAAAAAAAAAAAAAAATTTTTTTTACGTACTATCACCAACGCAGTACAGTGTCATCATATAACTTGTGAGGTGGTGATTAGGGACACTGGTGACAGTACAAAAAAAGGAGAAGGAAGGAAAAGAAAAGAGAGGGGATAGTGAAAGACATGAGCTGAAAAAGAGAAACCTCATAAGAGGTAGGAGAAGTGGACAGAAGGGAAAGGTAAGGCTCCACATGTTCCAATGTGCATCTCCTGCACTGATGTTTAACCACTTCCCGTCCAGTCCATGTACATAAACGGCCAGACGGGAGTGCTGCTGGAGTGGGTGGATGTTTCTAAAAGTCCCCCCACATCCATTGCCTGTGCATGCTCCCTGGGGGACACAGCGGAACACCGATCGCTGTACAGGACCTCTGTGTGAGGTCCTGATTCATGTGATCACTGATTGGCCAATCAGTGATCACATGAATAGTAGTACTTCCTGACATCATTGCTTACTGCTTGTGAAATCTGTGAATGATCACAGAGGTCACATGGTACAAGGCTATTCACAACAATCACAGCTCTCACAGTTTTTCTCAATGGCTGCAAGAATGAGGCCAGAGAGGAGAAATGGTTGCTTTTACAGCCTTTATGGGTGTAAAAGCAATCAGTGTAAAAAAAGAAAAAAAAAATCTTCCTCACCCCCAACAAGTAGTACAGTGTTACTATGGTGACACTGTACTGCTATGGTGACAGTATGTTAAAAAAACATAAATAATAATATAAAAAATAAAATAAAAATTTAAAAACAAATTAGAAAAATTATAATTTTTGGTTATAAACTAATTTGGGTTATCTTTTTTTTTTTACCAAAAAGATAGATGAATACATTGTGCCAAGATTTATGAAGAAAGATTATTTATTTGAAAAATTTTATAAGAAAAACACTTTTTTTTTTATTTTTGGACTTTTCCATTTATATAGCAAAAAAAATAAAAATCCCAGTGGTGAATAAATACCACCAAAATAAAGTTGTATATGTCTAAAAAAAATGCTAAAAAAATTCAGTATTGCATGACCACGCAATTGTCATTCAAAGTGTGATAGCACTGAAAGCAGAAAATTGGCCTGGACTGGAAGGGGGTGAAAGTGTCCAGACTTGAAGTGGTTAAAGAGAAATATTACTATCCACTGGAAGCGAGGCATGGGCATATTGGAGCATTTTTAGTTTCAATCTTTCCCTTTTTTTGTAAGCATTGTTGTCACTCTGCATAGATCTGATGTGCCCCCTGCTAAGTCAGGGCTAGAGTGTTGGATCATCTTGTATTAGCTAATTTAAATTGGGATTTAAGGCATACTGCTACATTTTTCCAACACTCAAAGCTTACCCGAATGATAATAGCTCAGCAAACTATAAGTCATTATTTACATGCTTTCTCAATCTGGGAGTTTGGAGCATAGTTGATAGCCTGACTGGGCTTTACCTATGCTATCTCTATTTCAAAGTCTAGTTCTAATAAACAAGAGAAACTGTGCAGAGGCCTGGAAGATACCTAAAATGTTTGTATCTAAATCTATTTAGTATTGAGGAAACAAAGGCAACACCTATACAAATAAACATTTTGCTGGTAAATTGTCCTTATACTATTATCAGAATCAGAAATCAGCTTAGATTTGAAAAATTCCACATTCAATACCATAACAACATATATTTTATATAGAATGGAACATTTAGTTGCTGCTTTCACTAGTGAAAAGCTGTTGATGAGGCTATGGGATCAGATGGTATAGATTCCAGGATATTAAAGCAGCTTAGAGGTTTCCTTTCAGCACCACTACCAGAGCTGTACAAGCAGTCGCTATTGTCAGATATAATTCCAGATGACTGGCAACTTACAAATTTAGTCTCTCCACACTGAAGTGGAAGTATGCTATAATCAGATAACTACAGACCAGTGAGCCAGATGTCAAATTTGGAGAAATAAATGAAGTCAGTATTGAAATCATCTGAATATATTAGCTAGCAAACTATATAAGGATTCAATTTGAAGGGAATCTTGTCTTCATATATGGGAACATGTCTTGCCACATATGTTCTGAGATTATAATTTCAACAAATAAAAATAGAATGCCTATGGTTTATGTGCAGTAATAAAAAAAATGTCATTACATCCAATTTTAAAATTATTGAGGTAAAAATTGAGGTAGAGACAATAATACACGTCGTCCTTTTTTATTTTGCCTTGATCCACAGGCTGCCACATTGACAACCTATGAATAAAAATACCCTTGTCAATAACAATAAAAATTGGACCTTGTCTAATAAGATCTTAAAGGTTACCAGTACATGTTTGGCTCTGATAAAGCATACTAATTTCCACAAATTGAGGTTTATTTACTAAAGGAGCTGAGAATCTTCACACAATACATTTTGTGAATACTCCAGTTATGCGATCATGAGAAAAGCAAATTGCTTTAATTTATTTCTCTGCACATGTTCGGATAATTGAAGTAAATATTCACACAATTTATTATATGAATATTCTCAACTCCTTTAGTAAATCAGCTCAAATGTGTCTGTGCTTACTGGAATTCTGATTATCATCATAATCATCCCACTGTAAAGGAATGACATTCAATAGTTGATAGTATAAGAGGACACCTATTTCATTACTATAATATTATTATTATGCTGCATCCCATTATTAGGATATTGCTGTACTCATGCTATTAGAGTGAAAGGTTTGCTTTGATGCTACTCCTATCCAATGTAAAGAACAATCATCATGTATTATCTTGTATATACAACACATTTGCATATCTTCCATAGTATCTCACACACACTCTAACTAGAATGACAAACATCAGAGCCCTGTTTAACTGTATTAAAAAGTACTTATTTATCTGGAGAAAAAGTGCTTAGTATAAAGCTATATTATTTGATTTTTGCTATGAAAGTGTCTGAAGATTTAGAAAGACTTTTAAGGAATTAGCCCCATTTTTAAATCTTACAAAGCATCTCATAAGCTGTTGTAATACAATAGCAAATACAAAACATCATTTTGGATGTTGTCTATGCTGCTGCAGAAGGATAGGTTGAAATGTGTTAAGAAACTAGGGAATTAATACCTCTTTCAGTCTCTAATGTGTTAATAGTTGTATCACTAATTTAAAAATGACAGGAATGGTGAAAACACAGCAGGAAACTTTTATCTCAAGTGATCTAATCAGGAATAATGCTACTGAATAAGGTCCCCATTCAAAATGTGATCTTAAATAATGCTTTGCCTCTTACACATTAGAGTTTGAAAAATTGTGCTTCTCCAGCCAAGACTTAAATCTGCGAAAACGTATTGGACGTGGGTAATGTCATTTTCAAGTTGGCCTATTCCACTGAATAGACTATGTGGTGACTCCAAATGTACAATAAGTTCTTATTACACAACAAGGGCCCATAAATATGACAGTGTCATCTTTCTCAGGAGATGTGGATTGAAAATAAATCTAATGAAAATTCAGTCATCTTTGAAGCCATCAATCAAATATCTCCCTATGCAGCGTTCTCTTAAGCCACAGTTTGGATAAAGCAATTTACAATGTTAAATTCTTTAGAAAGTCTTACCTTCCTTCTGACTGCCTGCAGCACTCTGCTGCTGTAGCAAACTTTGACTGTAAAGTGTTGGCAGTGCCGCAGCGGCATACTGCTGAATTCCTGAGTAAGCCTGGGTGAGGGCATCCATTGTACCGGCTGTACCGTTCGTCAAGCCTGTTGCGCCGAGTCCTCCATTCAGAGCAGCCATACCTGAGAGCATTTGAGCAACTTTACAAAAAACCCAACAATAGAGAAAAGAAATTGCACTTGTTCATTAGTGCTCTCTAAAAATATTGATCAATACCATTTACACCAAAAACGACTGCACTGCATGCAATAGTAATGATGACCACACCAAGAAGTAGGAACTAATACAAAAGGACTTTAAAACAATGGTGGGTGCTAATAATTAAATGCATGCATGTATCTACAAATTGGGTGGTGCAACTTGACTACATTTGACATTATTATTTTGAACAGAACCATGCAATAATTACACTATTATACAAAACAAAAACTATGAACATAAAGTACAGTATATACATAACAAAAATATAGAACCATCATATACTGTATATTTCAAGACTATGATGTGCTTCATTTTGTTCACCTGTATCTAGCTAATTTTTTTTTGTAAAGTATATGGTAAAATTATCCCACTTCTTCCTTAATTCATTTTATTCCCCTTTTTGAGATGCAGTAACAGAGGATTAGAACTTTTTCAGTTTTTTTTTTTAGCTTTGTTGCTTTAATTTGACTGTCAGTTAAGTAACCACATAGAGCTATATGTCCATCTAAAGTCAGCCATAGATACAGTAACAAATCTGGGCTGGTTTAGCAGAGACCATCCGAGATCCAAAACACCTATGGCCAGGCTGATTATACCCAATTCAATTGTTGTATGAATTGGGCACAACCAGCATGTCAGATTTTTACATGCGATTATTGCCAGAGGTTATAGCCACTAGCAATAATCACTGGGTTCTCACAGCAGGGTAGGCTCCATGCACCCCCCCCCTGCTTCCGGGAGAACACAGTAGCTCTGCAGGACGGATTCCCCCATCAACACTGACTGTATTGATTGGGGAATTGAGTGATTTTCTTTCCTACAACCCTAGCACCATCTATGCCCTGTCCACATTGTGACTACACTACACTGATCTTAATGCAAAATGAAAATTGTTGTTATTGTTCAGGAAGTGTCAATGGATCATCAGGCAATGTTTACTAAATATGGACATTTGAAATACAGTGTTTGCAATAAATAACTGATTTTATTTATTCTTACATACTTATATTGATAGCTCTAATATAAAAAATCCAATGGAAAATGCCATCCACCACAGCACTAAATACTCACTGTTTACGGTACCTGCTAGTGCATTAATATTATTTAATCCCACTGTGGCTCCAGCCAATCCCTGTAGAGTGCCGAGAGAGGTCAAAGAATTCATGGCAGCTCCAGCAGAAGAATTAGTTGCTGCAGCCACTAGAAATACAAATCAAAATGTTTAGGTTAATAGGGTTCTGCAAATATTCAAAAAGACAAACAAACATACTGGCACTGAATTTAGAAAACCTTAGAAAAGCACATTGAAACCATAGCATCAATTATCTTATTTACTTTTACCAGAGTAGGTGAAAATTAAAAGTGACACTGTGATAACAGCTCCAATTTTGTTTTACTTTCCTTCTTTGTAAAACTTTGTCAAGTTACCATTTCCTCCAAGCTGTATATCACTTTTGTATATAACAAGCTTTCAGGGGAATTGTTACTGTTATTAAGGGAATTTGTTCCTTTTGTTGATCATGTGGTTTGACCCTAAATGTAAATATAAGCAGCTCTAAAGTTTAGGTGCAGCCAAAACTTTTTTATTCAGTTTAGGGATAGAGTATGGATGGGTGTTCTTTGTGAATGTTACTTAAGCTATACTACTCTGTTTACATGGTAGAGATGCACCACTTCACAAACAGGTTTGGGGGACCCCCCAAGCAGGTTTTTATAAAGTAATAGTATATTCTAAATTCACTGTTCCCTGCAAAATGGTATTTTTGTATGCATTGGTACTTCTCCTGGAGCAGTGTCAAACCTCCATGCAGTTTTTTTTTTACAGATTCCACTCACATTGACTTCAGTGGGGTTTGAATTTGACACATGAACCTCCATGAACCAAACCCAGGTGTATTTGGCTCTTCCTTAGTGTTAACCTCTGTCCTTTTATTGTTTGCTGTATGTTTTCTGCTGGGGAAATATCCATTCACTCCTGATCTTACAGAATCAAAAATATATGCGGGGAATTAACTTCTTAGACAGTTGTCATTAGCACTGGTGTCGGCATTGGATGATATCCCCAACCTCCTGTTCTGGTGACAACTCCAAAATTGTGGATTTCCCATCTCTTTCTTTTTTGATGACAATGGTCACCAGGATAAACAGGTAGTTGAACCTCCCTAACGGTGGAACCCAGATAGCAGTGAAAACTTGACATGGACTCTAGACCTTCCCTATTCTATCCAAAACTAAAACAGAAAAAAAGAAAAAACTATTGGCTGTACACACACTCATACATTTTTAAGACTGGTTTTCGTAGCTTCTCTTTTCACCTTGTTTTTTGTATTTACCACAGCGTATGCTATCAACAACAACTAGACCAATGGACAGAGTCAGATCTTAGATCATCTTCTCTTTGTACTTCTATCCCATAAACTCCCCTTCATGGCATTGCTACACAAAAGAACACCGGAGAATAAAATGTTTGATACAGGCAGTTGGAACCTCGTGTACTCCTTTCTGCTTAGTTAGATCACTATGCACAGCAGGGGAAGCTAACACTGTTAGCAAAACATCCTGTGCATAATTTCATGTAATAAGTTCAAATCTCTTTGCTGTGTTGGAGACATATTCCCTGTAGTAGGTTTTCTTGGTTTCTAGACAAAAGCTGTTCAGCATTAAAAAAGGTAAAGATCCATAATGTATTATTTTCAGCTTTACAGTCTTGAATGTGTTAACCAGGCAACTGGCAGAAGTGCTAATCTGGGCCAAGATTCATTGTACAAAACACATTGTACAAGGAATCAAACCCGAAAAACATTTGAACAAACTGAAATGAGAATGTGTGAAAGAGAGGTGCTAGCACAGCAGAAAAATGTAATATCATAATAAAGCATGGCTCCCTTCTGACAACGTGAAACCAGAGGTTCCGTTCACAGAGAATATGAAGCTACAGCTAGGCACTTGTTTCATCTTCTAGTTCTTATCATTGTCTTGCCCTTCAAGCACCATAAAAGGAAGACTTTAATAGAGCTACCTCTATCTACTCTGAAAGCAGATTTTCCCTTGCTCCTGGGTCTTCTTATAGCATCGTAGCGACTTTTCTTTTTTTACATTTCAAACTGTTAACTAAAATATTAAGGAAAAGGTGTCTGTTCAGTTTTCTACCATTCTTTTCTTGTTATGGATGGGAAAGTATATAGTGTATTGAATTGTTAATAATAATAATCTGTATATAAAATACCCCATCCCCCAGTCAATCCTTATAAATAAGGTAGTCTTCATACCAGAATAAAATTAGACTGTTTAGTTATTCTGTGTATACATGCACAGGAGCTAATAAAATATTTTTTTTCTTTCAGAAAGAGGCAGCTAAGAATGTTCTGCTGTGGGTTTCTTGATCTCAGATCTCCTCTCCATGTTTGACTTTAGACTATAACACAGCTGGCCTGCCTGCTTATTGACGTAGTGAACACACACTCACTATAATATTGTCTACTGCAGGTAGTATTTATATTTCTCCAGATACAAAAATCCAGGAGCTCAAACCTTATGGTGCTTTTTTTCTGCACATACTGAGGCTGAGTAGATATTCTGTATTGCATATAGTCTGTAATTTAGTAAAACTGGTGCACACAGAATCTGGTGCAGCTGTGCATAGAAACCAATCAGCTTCTAGGTTTTTTGTCAAAGCTTAATTGAATAAGCTGACGTTAGAAGCTGATGGGTTACTATGCACAGCTGCAACAAATTCTGAGTGCTCCAGTTTTAGTAAATCCCCCCTAGTGGGTAATACAAGGTATGTCTGCAATCTACTGCTTCTTACTCCAATGTACATAGTTACATAGTCTGGTTGAAAAAAGACACAAGTCCATCTAGTTCAACCAATAAACGTGAAAACATTTTACAATCGTATGCACACTATTGAAAATAGTTTTTCAAAATGGACCAGAATTAACTTAGTAAAACAATTAGAAAAACCCAGAGAAAAAAACTATATATTGGTGTTCTGCAGCATGCACTGCTTCTAACTTCAGCTTGTTCAATTAAGCTTTGACAATAATACCTAGAAGCTGACTGGTTTCTATGCAGAGCTGCACCAGATTTTGCACACTCTTGAGTTTTAGTAAATATCCCCATGTTAGAGACAAATGGGATCCTAAACTAAGTGAACACCAGTGAATGTGAAAGGCCGTAATTTTAATCTTTTTTTTAGAGACAATAATGCTTCAAGTATTCTGTGACGAAAAGCACTTAAAGACCTACAACTCATAGAAATAAATGATGGGATGAGAATGGAAATGACTGAAAAAAGGAATATTTTTATTATTAGTCCTACTACTAATGAAGAGACACAATAGAATGCAATTATGAAGCTGTAGGAGAAAGGACAGAGCATTTGGGAAAAATGATTGGCTCACATTTTATTTTAACCACTGCGCCATTCATTCGCAATTGGAAATACCCTACTCATGTCAACATAAAGAACCGTAATTCTATTTCTAATACTATGTACTACACATGTGTAGTTGTCACATAATGCATCTGTAGCACGGTCCTAGTCAGGTTCCAGGATAGGTAAATTTAGTTTGGGCCCACTGTAGTCAATGGGGTTAAATTATTCTATTAGGTAACTTTAATTTGGCTCACTGTACCCAGTGAGGCTGGAATTCTGTTTGGGGTTTGCGCCTGCTGGGTACCTTGCCATGCACTTGTCAAATGGAGGCCCCAGCTGGGAGGCTTGAGGGCCTTGAGTCACTGTTTGCTGCTGAAGGCTGACTGAGACGGCTATCATTTAACAATCTAGTATGTGATCACTGAGTGTAGCTACCTGCAGGATACTTGTTGGATGCCACCATCTATCCAGATGCATTCTGTAAGTACAGGTGGGGAGAGATCTTAGAGACTGTCACCTTTCCTGTGTGCTAGTAAGTCAGCCGTGTGTTTGCTAAGACGTTTCTTTTGTCCTGAAGGCCATTGCTTATCCATTCCTTGGGAGGGAGGCTGTTGCTTGGACTGTCCACCGAGGAAGGATCAACCTCCTCAATACTGATTGCAGAACCTGTCTGCTCTCTGCTTCACAGGGACAGTGTTCAGGGTTACAATAGTTCAGAGTTCAAGAAGCAAATTTCAGTTTCCTGAATATTCATTATAGCAAGTTATTGGGGTATCCTACTTTCCCATTCCCTATCTAAGTTCATCCCCTTATTAAAAAACAAAACCAACAGCCCTTGACTGTTTCTTGAGCCGAAAGAGAGAAAGTGCATGTGTGCCTGGCTGCAAGGCGATAGTGGGAAAAGACCTACAAACTTCTGAGCTCTACAGGGGTTCCACTACACACCATAGCGCAGCTGACTTTAGATTGTGTGGATATGTGGATTTGTACTAGACATAGTGGTAAGAAGCACTAGAACTGTGTTTTGAGGGTGACTTCTTTCCTGAAGACTTCTCAACTGAACAGAAATGAAATGCACATGAACACATGATCAAGGACAGCCAATAGAATCGGGGTAGCAGACGTAAGCAACTCTGTGCTATAACATCTATAAACTATGTAATTGAGATCTGCCTGGCTCTTAAAGTGGTAACTCAATATAGAACAATGTACTAAAAAAAAAAAGAAAAGCTAGTCATTTTCTAATACTTTAAGGGATTTGGTTAAAGAAAAAACATATTTTTGTCACAGTGCGACAAATGGTAGGGACATCAATATTATCATTCCACTAGAATCAGAAGCATGAAATACTGGATAGGAGAAATAAAGAACCAATCTACTGTGAGGCATTCAATAAAGAAAACCCATTTATTCCTATGCTGGCACAGATGTGGATGTTGTCTACTGCTGAGCAACCTACGTATGTCAGTATAGTCAAAGAGGCTTCTGGGCTATGTACTAGTGAACTGTAATGACAATGCAACAGCGGCTTATCTCTGCATGTCTTTATTTGATATTTATTGTGTTTCCTGCCCCACTGACAGTCTCCAATTGGACGAAGGCTGAACTTTTAAATTGCATTTCTTCAGTAGTTCCCAAGATACTAGCTAACACGTAAATAACCATATTGAAATTTGCCTACTACGAAATGCTTAGCCTCCTAGCATATTTCAATAAAACCACAGTAGGCCTTGCTTGTGTTCTATGTTTGTTTTCTTTTTATAAAGCATGGTCACAAAGGATAGCAG